TCCTCATAGTACGCGTTGGCCTCGATGCGGTCGTAGTAGATGCCAATTTTCTTGTTGGGGTTGCGCACGGTGATGTTGAGGGCGAGGTTGTAGTGCAGGTTGTTGTCGGAGGTGAGGTTGAATTGGGTAAGGGAGGCATCCGTCACGTGAAACTTAACTATGTTGGGGCGGAATATGAGCCAGAAGATGAGGGCAGCCAGACCCAAGATGACGACAGCAGTGACTATGAGCTTGATAAGGAAGCTCAGGAGGCAGCAGCAGCCACAGCCAGAACCATGGCCGTGGCGGTGGTAGGACCGGGCAGGTGGGATGGCGGGGCCGTAGTAGGCCCCGTTCAAGTGGGAATGTTTCTCTGCCATGGAATAACACAAGAACAAGAAGATATGCTGTGTTTTTAGAGGAGATGAATTGGAAGAGAAAACAAGGGTATGTATTTATAGGGAGAAAAATTAGAGTGGAGAAACAAATATGAATCGAGGATGCTACACGGTGGGAAGATAATGCACGCGTCAACAGACGCGGTTTAATTCGTCGAATGTGGGCGGACGGGTTTAAAAGCGTTACGATTTTTGGGCTTAAATTATTAAATAGGTGCAAGGCGGAGTGGTGCATGGAACCTTCCTAATCCTACATAATTTGGGCTTTTATGTGTTATTTTACATTAAGATATTGACTATGGGTTCGTAGCTAGAGAAAAATGTCAAGGAAAATTGTAATTGTTTGGTTCTACATCCAATTTGACAATGATGTGAAGGGATTATTATTCAACAATTGATATTGTTTTGTAGCTTGTCATGTTACCATCATGTTTGAAAAGAGTATTATTTTTTAGAAACTCAGAGGGTTAGATCTATGGGTAGATATATGTTGTCTCATTTTTTTTTGCACAGCAAATTTAATTCATTAGATAGAGTACAAGGGGTACTCCTGCCCATAATACAAAATTAGGTGAAATATTGAGCATCTACTGACTCTGCCTTCATTCCAGCAAGAGTCAATTATTTGCTCAATATATGTTGTCTCATTAATTAAGTTTGATATTTAAGTTTAAAAATTAACATTCAAAAAAATTAATTTCTTTAAATGTGAGAGTTTGTCCTTTGAGAAAAATTAATTTCCAAATGCATAAAAAAATTGAATTGTAAAGCTTTAGAACTTGCATTGCAGAAGAATTATAGCATGGTAATAATAGAGTCTGATTCATTGTTGGCGGTGTGAAAGATCATTGTTGGTGCAACTCACCTTGAGCCATGTGGAAATCTAATTAGCAAGTGTCAAGCTTTTCTTAAGAAGAATTGGCAATGTAAACTTTCACATGTTTTTCGAGAAACCAATACATGTGTGGATACTATGACTTCAAAATTTTATCACTTAAGCATGGGTTGGCATTATTTTGAAAATTCTCCAAACGAAGTGAGGGACAAAATGACAAAAACTTTTTTATGTGTTTGTAGGTCTCAAGTCTCTAAATTAATCAGTATATGAATACACTGTCCTTATGTAAAAAAAAAAAAAGAAAAAGAATTGTAACCTTGTTAATCCTACATAATTTAGGAATTATTACGTGTTTTTTTTTTTCACTTTAAGATGTTGACTATGGGTTTGTTGCAAGAGGAAAATGTTAAAGAAATTGTATTGTTTTGGTCCTAACTTATCCAATTGGATGATGATATGAAGGGATTATTTAACAATTGATGTTTTTTGTGGCTTATTATGTTACCATCTTATTTGAGAATATTATTTTTTTGTAGAAACCTCGAGGGTTGCATCTACAAGTAGATATATGTTGTCAACTATCTAATGATATAGAGATTTAAGGTTTTAACTTTAATTTTAAATTAAGATTTTTAAGTTAGTATTTAATAACTCCTGTCTCTTATTTACAGATATTAAAATTTTAATATGAGATCTCTAACTTTCTAATGGCACTCTATAAATAATGAAGTATTGTGAACAAACTTAAGTAGTTAGGGATAATTTCTTTTTCATAAAAATAAAAAATTTTGAATTCGAGCTGCATAAAATATAAATAAAGGAAATTAAGGAATATAGAAGAGGATTATATTCCATAGTGCAACCTCAAAATGATAGTTAAGTATTACTTTAATGATATTAATTTATATGTTTTCAAAGGAGGGACATAATTAACTAGCTTAGTGCTGATATTTTGCATGTTTTAATAATATATTTGGTTTGAGGGATATGGAAGCATAAAAATTTTTCTATTTAGTTAGTGAAAAATTTGAAGGGGAAGGAAGAGGAGAAGTGTCCTTTATTTTTTACTTTTAATTCTTTCACTTATCGTTTCGTTGTCCATTTCTCTCCTTCCCCTCCTCTCTAAGGGCAAAAACCTATTTTAACCCCTCATCTTATATTATAACACTTTTAACCCCTTAGTTTATTAAATTTATAGGTTTTAGCCCATCACCTATTAAAATCGAAGAAAATAACTCTCATTTTATACTGACTATTAATTTTGTCAGCTAAAAGTAGGTTTTTGTCAACTAACAGTCAACTAATAGTCAATTAATAAAATTAACGAAATATTATAAATTTAGTTCTATTAACTCTGTTAGCTGAAAACTCTTTTAGCTGAAAGAATATTTTTATTAGCTAATAATTAACTAACATAATTAACAGTCAACTAACAAAACTGACAAAATGTTACAAAGTGAGGGCTACTTTCTTTAATTTTAATAGGTGATGGGCTAAAAGTATCATAGTATAAGGTAAGGGATTAAAACCTACAAATCTAATAAAGTGATGGGCTAAAAATGTCATAATATAAAATGGGAAGCTGAAACCTTCAAACTTGATAAGATGAGGGGCTAAAAGTAGGTTTTTGCCCCTCTTTAAATCCCTCGAATTAAATATATTGTGAAAGTATAAATATAAAATAGTTTAGTGATAAATTTTGTGTATAATTTTTTCCATAAACTTACATTATTTAATTATTAACTTTTTTTACTTTTCTGAGATTCATGATATTACATACATTTATTCATTTAATAAAATTAAAAATATATTTATTTGCTTTAAAAAATAAAAAATAAATAACTAATTAAGAATAAAAATAATAATAAAAAAACTTTTATTTTAGGTATTTTCTATATTTGGGTGCAACAAATGCATCATTTTATAATTAATGTATATTGAAAATGATAAATGTTAATTTAAATTTAATTAATTGACTAATTAAAATTATTTACATGATAATAATACTAAAATCAAAGTTAACTTTTATTAAATTTTCTTTAAATTAAATGTAAAAAGATGTATTTATTGCATCTTAACATACATGATAAGCG